CCCCCACCCCCCCCCACGACAGCGATAAATAATGACCGGTCCCTTATTTGCGTTTTGCGTTTCTGTTTGTTTGAAAGCAAGGACATTTTTTAACAAAAAGTAATAGCCCTACCACAACAACGTGCAAGATATCAGTTGTGAACCTGAAAGTGACGTATTGGGCAGATGAGGCTTCTGGCACAGAATCAGCCATAGCTTTGTAACATGGAATTTCTGAACACAGGTTTTATTACTGATTTTCATTACTATCATAAAACATATTTCATGCAACTAACCTAAACCCATAAAAACTGTTTAGGACAACTGCCCATTAATCACATATTAATGCTCTCTTTGGCAACTGAATCGAATTGATCGGTTTTATTGAGTTCAATTACACTTTCATTATTCCCCCAGTTTTTGTCAGTAACTCAGTAAAAATGAGGAAATCGTTTGATTTAAGGTTTGAGGACACATCTTTCCTGTAACAATACTGTTGGCGGTAGCAATATTGTATGAAAAGTTCATCGTGCTTTAATAACGTTTCCAGTAAAAATATTTTCCGCATTTCAGAAAAGTGTATTGTACAGGCTTTCAAAGCACTTACAGTAAAAGTATTAGAGCCCAGTTTCCACCAAAACTTATTTGCAGATCTCAAACTGTGATGTACCGCACAAACTTTGAAAGGGCCATGAGTAAGCTTGTACTGACAGGCTATCATTGTCAATATTGTGAGTTGAAGGGAATTACTGACAGTGATTAATTAGTTCACTTGAGGTGACTAGCAAGTTTTCTTTTTTGTCTATTCTATTACAGTGTCATTGTGTAACTAACCGTCCTACCACAAAGGGCCAATAGGTGTAACAAATTAAGCTAAAACGATTCTTTGTTAACCCAATACAATTCTTAAAAATCTAATAAAGACGCTTTACCTTTACGTGATATTTCTTTTCATTTCTTTTGTTTGGATGTATTTCGCGTACAGTAAACAAGCGTTCGAATATTTACTCTACTAAATGTCTGAGGGGCTCAATATTAACTACTTTCACTTTTAGACCTGGCGAATAATCGAAAAAACACGGTATACGTAAGTAAAGAAAACCTTTAGCTAGAACAGAAAGTTAGCTTAGCTTTATTCCGATCGTCACAAAATTGGTGTTCCTAGTAAACGTTCGTCATAGCAAATTTGCATTTGAGTAATTTCACTTTGAGATATTGGTGTGTAAGTTTTGGGCAATTATGCTATTCTATACACAACTAAGACTTAAAAGACCTTTTAAAGTCTTTTATGTTCTCTTGGTATACAAGGAATAAAACAAATGTATCACAAACAAATGCAACGAGACTCGTGTACAATTGATTTTATGATAAACCAGACATACCTCGAATACTATTGACTTCATGTAAGCCGTCTTGTCCAATCGATCATTAGGGCCATTTATACGAGGAAAAATAAGACGCGAACTGTACCATTTATACGAGCATGTCTTATCTAATAAGACGCGTCTTAGCTAAGCCGCGCCTTATTTTAGACGAAATGTGCCGTTTATACGGAAAGTTCGCGTCTTATGTAAGACGCGTCTTATTTTTCCTCGTATAAATGGCCCTATTATGTGCAAAGTAAAAAGAATCTGATATTACAAGGAAAAAAAATATCGCTTGCCTTTAAATACATATGTTTTCTTTCTGAATATTTACTTATTCTTATCAGGGCTCCTGTTTTTATTTATGTATCTTTATCTTTTTTAAAGAGGGTAATTCTGAAAAGTTTCAATCGATCAATCAAGCTTTATTTACAGTATCGACGGTTTATAGCTATATTTTCGTCATCAGTTTGTTAACTGGTGGAAAGGAATTCTTCCTTCGGCTAGTTTTGTAATGATCTTAGCTTGAAATAGTCTGTGAAAAAGTCTTTCCTGGCTTTCCTCTCTCCCCGTCTCGTCGCACTTTTACGCTCCTCTTCGTCCATGCAACCTCGTTCCCAGGGATCTCCCTCCACAGGGACAGATAGAAGAGAAGCCTGGGAAAGAGGTTGCTTGGAGCCAACGGAACCTATTCACAGGCTTACACTATAGAAAATTGCTGTCTTACTTACTTCTCGCTTCATGATTATGTGAGTGTGCTACGAGATCTAATAGTGTTTTTTTTCTGCTTACACTGACAAACCGGTCAATTCAGGATGTGAGTAAATGGTAATTAATCTCAGGACTTGAAACTAACGGGAATTACGTTTACCATTTGCACAATCATTTCCATTTACACTGCAAATTGGACGCAAAAGTTCTGATCTTAGTTGTTCGGAAGGTGTGTGTTTGCAAATTTATGTGCTAGCAGTGTCTCCTCAGTATCGTGGATCTGCCCTGTTCGCCTCCGTAGTAACTTAAGAACCTCTCTTTTTTTCTCCATCGTGTTGAGGGTGACCTCGTGGTTACGACCCAAGACGTCGTTTTGAATATCCAAAGCCTCTTCAAGTTCTTTTAAGGCCATTTCAAATTTCGCTTGCATACAAAGAACTTCGCTTAGCCGAATGTGCGAACGAGCCGTGTCTTGATGCACACCTAACAACTTCCTCCTGAATTCTAAAGCTTGTTGGGTGTAAGTCTCGGCGAGCGCAGCGTACTGCGCTGGATCCTCTCGTGCAAGCTCCAGGTACATGGATGCGATGTGCTGAATGATTGAAGCCGTCCAGGGATGAGCGTTACCTAGCTGCTCTAGGTAAACCGGCAGCGTCTTTGTTTGCCAAATTTCCAGAGCCTTCTTGTAGTCACCGCAATGTCGGTAAGAATCTATAAAGAAATTAAAAATTATTCAAAAATACCTGCTTATCAGTATGATGATTTACTTTATATTACTATAGGTCATTTTCCTGAGATCTGAATTTCCATTGACCGACTGATTATCCCTTATTTTTTTTTCAATATATTTATTGATAATCACATTAAATAATTACATTTACAATACTACAGAAAAAAAAAACACTTTAACTATAGACATTAACAGAGTAAAGCAAAATTAATTGTTAAATTATTAGGGGTCAAAGAGATTATAAAAAAGTACAACAGAGCAATGAAATAATACGGAGTTAATACAGTTAACTTAACCGACTGATTATCCTTGCATATATACCGGTAACAAGACTACGGTATGTATGTTCATTGTCAGATTTTGTGACTGTAATACTTGCATTATTTCCATAATCGTCTGAAGATCTAATAATTTGTTCAGTATCTTATCCTGAATGAGCTCATACTTTTACTTCCATGTTTGACGGTATGGAGACTGTATTGGGCAGCTCGAATCTCCGAAAGTATCAGCAACATTTTTCACGATGTCTTGCTACACCTAAACAAGGCATCACCGTACCCATTCACCTCAGCAGGCAGTTGAAATTTTGAACAACTCTCAGCTATAGGTTAAACGCCCATAATGAGCCTCGTGTTTTATTGACATACTTAGGCGATCGAAAATAAATAAGGAATACGGGTAACTACATTCTTGCACTCTTGTCATTTTTTCCTCTGTGCAGTCTTACCGCCGAGACCTTCGATTCACGATCTATGATTCTACGAATTACCATATTGACTCGAATAAGCGCCGCATTTGAGGAGCTTAACAAGAGTCGCGTCGCTTGTACCAGCAAATACAGTAACTGACATTTATATAGACGTGTCAAGCGATTATTTAGTTTCTCACGTCCAAGATCACAGTTTCCTGCAGCGACATACAGTTGAACACCCAACTCTTCTCTTATTTTGATTCCCTCGAGGATTGATTTCCTTCCTCCTTCTACATCTCCCTTAAAGAGAAAGGCGACAAAATTAATATGAGTAAATGCCATATACTGTATTACTAGAGCTGATCAGTTGCGGTATCTGACCCAAATAGCTATAGATAAATCACCTAAGTATGGCTTTTTCTCTAGCTCCTATGGTTATTTTGGGCATCCCGAACTCCTCTATATTTTTGTTAATATATTTTGTTAATCATAATTTTATACTGTTGGGTACAAATAAAGTCGTTGTTGTTGCTGCTGCTATAAGAGTACTAAGGCAAAGTTTGCTGCACGAAAGGCTGCATACCAAAGGTAGCCTGTTCTGAGCTCCTAAATAGTAATCGTTAAAACTGATGCGGAAAAACGCGGAGCTGGTCAGAGTTAAGACGCCACCACCACTTTCAGTCAGTTCACACGCGTCTTATTTTCGCTCTGACAGCCTGGCACGGGCTAGAGAAAGGAGACACAAGAGTGAAGAAGACGCTCGCGACTTTACCTACTGCAGCTCCCTCGCGTGTTTCCTCGAAACTCGAAATAGGCAGTGAGCTTAGGCCAAATGCAGAAATTAATCCGGCGTGAGTAATTTTATTCAATCATCTTTTACCAGGCCAATCGTATATATTTTCAACTTTTGGCGGCTCCACCACGAAAAAAAACCCTACGGTATCCGTCTGATACTTCACAGCATTCTCTCTATAGCCTCAAAAAAAGCCGACATTTCAATTCGCGACGCCACCACGAGGGTCCCAATGGGGTTGACCGATAGGCGTAAAACAGCCAAAAATTTAGCCGATAGCCGTAAAAATTGAAAAATTTTAACCGTTAGCCGTAAATAGGGTAAAAAAGAGTTAACCGTAAGAAAGTGTTCCTTAGATTTGCTACTTTTAAGGAAGGTATTAAACTCAGTTATGGTTGTGTTTTTTATTTCCCGACTAGTGTGACTCCGTACGCACGTAAGGCGAAGCGCCTTTCAGGCATTAACCAAGACCTAGGCTCCATTTCCGGCGCTCTATCGGGGAACTAATTTTTTCCATAGCGAAAGTGTGGCTTCTTGCTGGGGATTAATATTTGCAATTTTCGGGAGGTCGTGCCCTCGAAACACTAGTGAAACAGCACGCAGAGACGTCACAGTTTGTAAAACACGTTGCCGATAAACAACATTTCCCTGTTTTTCTCTGACGCTAAGGTAGACAATGCTATGCCTAGTCCCTGTACGGCGTCTTCCCACGCAGTCTCGGCCAAGGCATTTCGGTGGGGAACTCACTCGGACCACGTGACCCGAAACGCATTAGCAGCGCGGAATAATGCGGCCTACGGACAAGGCAACGGCAGACATACGTTCCGTACAGTGATTCGCTATCCTTAAAAACATTGGACACGGGAATTTTGTTTTTGGCCGTTTTCACACTAGAGCCAGAAATGGATCATCCGTCCGAGACAAGCCTGTGTACAGTCGCGCCCTCCCCACAGACACCCCTTCTCCGATTTTTTTCTGAGGGGAGGGGACGGCTGTACACAGGCAACCTGGAACGGATAATCCCGTCTTTAAAAGTCAGGCGGATTGTTCACTCAAAATTAAACTATTCCATTTTCAAATTAAGACGTACATTACCCATCTGACGTGAATCATCAAACAAATAGCCCGTCTCACACGAATAGCCCTTCTCTAGTGTGAAAAAGGCCATTTCTGTTATAATGAATGTCGCCCGGGCCTTGAGTTGGGCGCTCGCTTGTCTGCTTTTGCTTTTTCACAAAGATCATTTTTAGATTGACTATTGACATTTCTATGTGTAAATAATATTAGAAGTGGAATACTCTATTAAAAGTATGATCTATCAAATGTAAAAATTTTTCAAAAGAATAGCTTATTTCATCCCGAGATGATCGGAAGACCTTTATTTTGATTTAAAAATACAAAAAAATACAGGTTAATTAATATTTAACTTTTTGAAACAAAAGCAGTTAATTTTTAACTTTTTCGTTAACCGTAACTGAAAAAAATTAACCGATAGCCGTAAAAGAGCCAAAATTTTAGCCGATAACCGTAAAAGCCCTCACCCCATTTAGACCCTCCACCACTGGTTTCCTCGCGAACTGACGTCTTAGAAACGAGTGAAGAAATTCCATTCTCATGACGCGTCACTATACAGATCTGGGTAGTGTTTCTGGTTGGTTGAAAATTTGGTTCATCCAATCAGAAGCACTACCCATATCTTGGTAGTGACGCGTCCTCAGTATGGAATTTCTGTGCTCGTTTCTCAGACGTCATTTCGCCGGGAAACCAGTGTTGGCGTCGCGGAATGTCGACTGTTTTCTCAGGCTACACTCGGTCTCTAATCCTGCCGGCTTAACGCAAGCGCTTCATGTCTCATGAAAAAAGCAATCCACCGGATGCAGAAGGACAAACAAAAACAAAACTCTCTCACCTGGAGTAAGACACATAACCCATTTTTGGTGGTGACGTGAGCGTATTTCTCGCATTTGTGAGACTCTTTTGACAATCCTCTGAATATTGAGCAAGCTTCTTCAAACTTCTTACCAGCATGCTCCGCACCGTCGCCTTTGCAGTGATCTGCGTCATCTAGACAACGAAAACCAAGGGAATTTAAGCTGTATGCAAGTCTCTTACCGTCACCTACGGAGTCCCTAGCGATCTCACAGCACTTTTGGTACAAAAGGGTACATTCCATAGGTGGTGATAACACTTTAGCTAAGAAGTCCACGACTTCATTAGCAACATCAACAGCAAAAATTTTTTCTTTGGGCTCACTAGAGTCACATAGACAGTTCTCAAATGCTTCCATGATATTTTGTTTGTCTTCCCTGAACCTTCGAATGGCCTCTAAAGAAGAATCTTTTGTAAGAAACAGATTGTGAAGATCTTTCAGAATCTTGAGGTAGTGATGATTGAAAGCCGTCTCTGCGGAGCGCCCTTCATTAACCATGCCCAAGGTTTTTCGTTCCGCTTTGCAACAGGTCCTAACGAGTGGATGAATAGTAAAAATTTTCCCATCATTCAACTTTTCAAGCAAACAGTACCGAATCATTTTTGTCTTCACAGCTTCCTCTTCAAAATCATCCTCGAACAAAAACTGGATGTCTTTCACAGAAAAACTCTTTGGGAATACGGAAAGGCGGACTAGATTCCTCAACACCTGTTCAGGCAAAAGACGTAAAAAGCGGTCAATGTTGGTATGAATCAGGTTTAGATGTTCGCTATCGCGTATAACTCTCACGGGGTTTTTTCTCAGCTCTCGGGCAAAAACTTCGGGGCAGAAGCCATCAGCCATCATTGACCCACTGCAGCTAAGAAATAAGGGTATCCCGTCGCACAACTTGCCAATCTCTTCAGCAATAGCTTTTGAAATTCGTGGTGCTATTTGCATCAATAGTTTAGAAGATGAGGAAGAATCTAAAGGATCGAGGCGAATCTTATGAATGCTGGCTGAAATGAGGCTGTTGATAATGATGTCACACTGTGTTGTTATGATTGTTCGAATCCTTGGCGCCGACTTCACCATGTGTTCAAAAAAGTCATAGAACCCTTTTTCTTTTTGTGCATCTTCTGTGTTGTCAAGAATGACTATCGTGTCGTCTTCGAGCTCCGATAGCTTTCGCTTGCAGTGTGAAATCACATCTTCGTTTAATGTCCAGTGTCGATGATCTACCTGATAGAGAATTTCTTCGCAGATCTCCATGAGTTTTTTCTCCTTGACGTACACAACAGGCCGGTGTTCTTTTTGTAACAAGTGTCCGACATGAATTGCAACCTCTGTCTTGCCCATGCCAGGTAGAGCGACGATAATAATCATGCGCGATGAATTTGTTGTCAACTTTTCCTTGATCTGATCTACGACAGCATCCCTTCCAACAAAGTAGTTGGACTGGCATGGTAGTTTGCTTGTTCGTCGTGGTACTAAAATAAAGACAAAAAGTCGCTTACTGGCACGCCATCCTTCTTATGATTATCGTTATCTCTTATTTGGCCTCAAAGTTATGATTATCATTACTTTGGGGCACAGACAAATGACTCGGGTCAAGTCCCTCTCGAAAGTTCGAAACTTGGCTTAAGTCAGTCTTGAAAATCGGAAAGGTCAAGGTAAGTGTATGCTAATTTGGAGTATTTTTTTCCCAAAGAAAGATTCACTAAGTGGTTAGCCAATAAAAGACTTTGACACGTTAGGTCATGCGCACATGGTTAGGGCTAGGCTTACGTTTAGGTTTTGGGGCTAGGATATGGGTTAGGGTGTGGGTCAGGGCCCTCAAAATTATGAGAATCGTCATTTTGAGGCCAAGTAAGAAATAACGATAAGCGTAATTTCGGTGTCGAGATCATGCTGCAAGATATCATCCAGGGAAACCTCGTTCCCAGAATGCTCTACTACTCCTCCCTCTATGGCTGCAGGAGACGAGTAGGAGAAGACCCTGGGAACGCGGTTATTAACCATTCTTCAGGACTGCAATACTAGCCTGTTCCAAGCGTTCAGATAGTGGAGAGCGGTGCGAAGTAAAGAAAGCGATGAAAAGTAGAGGGGGACTGGGGAGAGACAAAAGGACTTCAAAGGGAAAGCTTGGAAAGCAAGTTGCAGCTATCGCTATTGACGAGGTCCACTCAATCACCGAATAGTAAATTTTCCCTTCAATTGTTGTGCATTTCCATTGCTTGAGTTAACGATCTGTATTGAAACGGCTTTCTATCGAAATGAGCGATATTTGTTTGTCACTTGATTCATAATTTTTTTGTCACGTACACGCTGAAATCATGTTTTAAAGCCGTAAATAAATTACTTCTCCCGCTCTCTATTGTCTGAAAGTCTTACATTAGGTTTTTAGTAAGATTATGTACAGATAATATTAATTTTGAGGTGAGAAATTTTGATTTATTCCTAAGAACAATAATAAATGTATGGGGCTGTAGCATCAGTCTTAATTGACAAGTGAAGACCACCTACAGCCGACGCGGTCTGAGTGGGCGGATGAGTCTATTTAAAACAAATCTAACAGGCGTTCCCTCTCTCACCTCCCCCCCTCCCTCGCTTTTATTTTTTCGCGCTCCTTTTTACTTCGCACCGCTCCCCACTATCTGAACGCCTGGAACAGGCTATGCGCATACCTGCGCGAAAATTGCAGGAGGGCTAGTGCTTTAAAAAACTTTTGCAAACAATACTACTTCTGAAGGGTTGATATTTCAAGACTTGGCCTTTTCAATAAAAAAACCCATATATTTGAAAACAGATACCGAATTTTTTATTACTTTCAATCTAGTATTTTTTTAATATATTTTTTAATATGATGCGTAGTGGTGTTAATAGTAAATCGTGCGTAGCGCTATAACATAACATAACACAAATGTGAGGATCTCCTCCTAGTTCTAACAAAAATCGTTAACAACTCTTTGCAGTCCGGGCGTTTTCCTGAAATTTGGAAAAAGGCTTTAGTTTTTCCGCTGTTAAAGAAATCCGGTCTCGATGTCATCTTTAAAGAAGTTCCGTCTCGTGAGCAACCTGTCTTTTGTGTCTAAACTCATTGAAAGGGCTGCTTTCAATCAGATTTAGGATCACCTAGTTAGTAATAACTTATACCCAGTTGCGCAGTCTGCTTATAGAAGAAATCATAGCACTGACACAACTCTTCTGAAAGTAACGAACGATCGATATTCTGTTGAATATCATGATGAACAAGCAGCAGGTTACTATCCTTGTTTTGCTTGATCTCAGTGCTGCTTTCGATACCGTTGATCTCAGCATTCTCCATGCATGATACACATCATGCCTTTATTTCTAGCCGTCTTGGCTATTGCTGTTATATGGCTTACCGGCGTATCAGATTCAGAAACTGCAAAGAGTCCAGAACTCTGCTGCACACCTTGTATTCCAAGAAAGTAAATTTTGTCATATTACACCATTACTAAGAGCCCTACACCAGTAACCCTTAGCAAGTCGAATAGTTTTTAAAAGTTTATTGTTAATTGTTAAGGCCATTCATAAACTCGCTCCGACTTACATTTCCGAACTTGTATCTCTGAAAGACACTGGTGGTGGGTACTATCTTAGATAAAATGACGGCAAGTGAACTTCTTAACATTCCATCATGCAAGTCTCTTTCCACGCTTGGTGATCGATCTTTTTATACCAGGCGGCCCCTAAATTATGGAACGATCTTCCCCTTTTTATTAAAAATATATCTTAAGTTAATGCTGTTAAGAAGGCTCTTAAAACTCATTTATTTCAGAAGGCGTTTCCCATCTAATTTATTGTTTTTATTCTTTTATAAAGAAGGATTTGTGAATAGGATTTTAAAGAATGATTAGTCATTTGTTTTTAGAATTTTAGACTTACTATTTAGGTGCGATCTGTAAATAAGACTTTAAGGATTAATTAGTAATTGTTTTTAGAATTTTTTAAATTGGAATATGTACTAGGATTTTAGGATTTTGTTGAGTCAATTTAATGCCCAGATGAAAAGTTCTTTCCCTAGATTGATATTTTTGAGCAATACAAATCAATAAATATTATTGTTTTACTAATATTAACATAGTAATAAGCAATAAATGCGGACGGGTGCAATCTCCAAATAACATAATACAAATACTGTAGTATTGGCCTCATTCTGAAGCACTCTTCTTTCGCGCTATTTGTAGATATGTGCTCATCTAATGTTCGTTGACTTCGGATTTAAGAATGATGTTTGTAGATCGTAAATAAGGATTCGGTCAGTTTTGGCACACTGCGCAGTATGAGAGAAAAACCATAACAGGAAGTCTCGAGTAAAAAGGACGAATTTTGTAACTTTTCTCTGCGATCTCACATTTAAAAAACTTCCGGTTTCTTATCCCAGTAACGAGGAGTAACTTATCTTGCCTATGCCCACACTATACTGGATAGCTTTTGGGCCGACATGACATGAAAACCTATCCGGTACAATATAAACGGTAACGGTAGAAAACAGCAACAACTGGCACATCGTGCCGGAGCGGTTGGCCGAGAGGGTTTGGTGAAGACAGTTAGTTCCAGTCCCATCCCTCCGCTACGGTCCGAATACGTTCACACTTCGACGGAGTGGCAGAAGCCTGACGGGCATTTTCGATTTCAAGTTCGGGCACAGCTTCGCCCCGTGACAAAAATCACGCCATTTGAAATCACCGTTCTTATGAGTGAACAAAAGCCCTATCCTGTATGGTTTTCGTGTCGGCGCAACCGGCAAGAGTACTATCCGGTATGTACTGTGAACATAGCCTTATGCTGCAATTCAATGCGCGCAACGTCTTTTCATAATTTGTAGTACACTAGCTGAAAATTGTCTTTTATCAGATAGCATCGAACGCTGACTTTCAACTTTATTCCCCGAAGGCCTTGGAAACCAACTCAGCGTATGTGACAGCAAAAATCAAACAAAAGTGCGCCTTTTACTGACAGTTTTGGTTTTGAAACAGTCCCTAAATAAACATCTCAGCTTATCTGGCGGAGTACAATATCGTAACTACAGGTCTATGCATGTCTGAAGATCTCTGAATTCGTGAATCACATCTGAATCAGCATAATTGTTCGTAAGTTATACATTGTGCTGCCGGAAGATACTTCCAAATCTACTATCAGAGCAAGACTTATATTGTCGATCCGAAAAAGAGAAAGATACTTGTATTAAAAGCTTAAATATTTGTTTGCGATCGTGACTGAAATGTCGACACAAATAAAACTCTGACAAGACCCTATAACTCGTTTTTTTTTTTCAGCTTTTGACAAGGAACCAAGCGATAATCCATGGACGCTCCTGGAAAGATCGCTTTAAAATTAGTTACTTACGGAGTTTGAAAGTGATGTGTCACAAACGAGCGAAGTTAAAGCGTCGCAATGAAGTTGCGTAATTTTATAGACGTTCCTAAAATGGGGGTCACAAATTTGCCCCCACCACACAAGCGTCTTTAAACATTCGCGACTTTGCGGAGCCATTTCTTCTTTTGTTGTCAATCCATCATCCACAAACTTAACATATTTATTATTTAGGCGCTCTGTCTGGAGGCTGACTACTCCTTTTCAAAAGTTTTTAAAAAAACTTGTTAAAATTCTCTTACTGCTCTTCAATTCAAATCGACTAGAAATTCATATTTTATTTGGCTCAACAGCAGGTGAGGAGATAATCGGTATCTTATCTTCAACATGAATAGAATAATATACACACTCACCCCATTCTTTGACCTTTTTGGCTAGATTAAAGTTCCCTGCAGTTTCCAAATGGGCAGTCAAGTAAGCCATATTTCCTGCCCAAAACTTATTCCGTCTCCATAGTAATTCTAAAAACTCTAGGGAGTTCTTGGTGGATTCAATCTCTCCCTCTGCCAATTCGTCTTTGCACAAAAATTTCAACGTTCCCAATAAATCATCAGTTATTTCTTTGGACGTTTGAACGATGAGAGTACGAAAACTTCTATCACTAGAAGAAGCCATTCTTGGTGATCGAATAGATAATTGCGCAAGCCGGAAGAACTGATTGAAGTAGATACAGGAGGAAGTGAATGAAAACGAGGTTGGTTCGAGTTTAGACGCCGTTTGTGTGTGAACAGAATAAATCATTGATTTGGAAGGGGTTACAGATTGTACCTTAGTGCCAACCGTTTTTCGATGGCATGGGAAATTGGAATTCAAGTTCCATTTCCACTTTTCTTTTTCGCATGACATTCAAAAACGGATTTGAACTTCGTATTTCATTTTTCAATTTTCGCACCACTTTGAAAAACGGAAGCGAGTTTCGTTTTAATTTCGTTTTTCGTTTTCGCATTACTTTTGTTTGTCATTTTTCCATGACTTGAAAAACGGATTACTGCACCAGTTCAGTCATTTGAAGTCCCCGGACATCCCCTCGAGGTTGACCGGGGCATTCACTTTTTATGCAAGTGTAAGCAAGTGAATTTTTCTCTCCCCGGGGCCAAAGTGAGTGATGAACTCCTCCCGCCCCCAATGATACGTCTTACCTACACGGTACTCCCTTTTTTAACATTGCAATGGATGGTAAATGATATGATGATAGCCGCGAAAAAACACGCAGCTATGGCAACACTTGCATACCCTCGATAGAGAAGGAAAATGACGAATATTTGAAGACTTTACAACTTGAAGTCACAAAATGCGAGATAACAAAAAATTACAAATGAAGTTTTACAGTCTTCTGTAGCTTCTGTAGAATGACTCAATCATTACAAAGTGTCTTTCTTGTCGTCATTTCCAGGATACAACAAATTACTACATCATTACACAATTGGGCAACTTAAACGGGGAAAAATAAGACGCGTCTAGTTAACTTCTCCTATAAGTGGCACAAACTGAATGTGTTCGCGACTTAAATAAAACGCGGCTCAAATAAGACACTCCTTATATGCCGTTGTATAAATGGTACAGTTTGTGTCTTATTTGAGACGTGTCTTATGTAAGCCGCGTCAAAAGACACTTTACAAATACATGTATTTCTTCAGTTGCGAGAAGCGATAAAAATGTATGCAAAATTACTGCGCGGCGCGAAAATGGAAACACTTACCACAGGGTGACTGCCCCGCTTATTCCCAAAGTGAAAGGCCCCTCATTACCTTGGTCATCCTCGTGGGGGGGGGGGGG